GAATAAAGAGATTATTTTAATATTTTCAGAGACTGTTAAAAATTAAAACAGGCCTGTAAATTGTAGAATTAATCGCCGAGTACCAGCAAGCTTTCAAGATGTACACATAATATCCTAGATAAATCTGATATGGATAAGTTGAGGACTTTATTTTGCCAATGTATCCAGTATAAATAGAGAAGTTATAAACGTTTCGTCTTCATGAAGATTTTTAGGCGTTCTGGCAGATGATGTCGGCTTTCAAATCGAAATAACAAAATATGAGTTTGATAACTAGCATTCCTATAACATTTCTTACGTAATTCGATGTATACCTTGTCTTTCGCCATAAATTGTTTTCTCACTCGTTAAAAAAGTGCGCTCAAATTATCATTTGAAAGTAATTCAGACCTTATATATCAAATCTAAGCATCCCACCCTCTATAAAGAAGAGTGATTTTTAGGTTTTAGTGTTATCTGTTTGTGACTTATATTGCTGATTGTTTCTGGCAATTTTCTTCCTAATTCTATTTTAGTTATTCCGAACAAATTTATAATCAATTGTCTTCGATTGAACTATGAAGTGCGCGGAACAGTATCCGGTTAGCTTTTTTCTTTTTTCTTTTTTTTTTTTTTTTTTCTCTTTTTTACTTTTTTTTTTTTTTTTACCGGCGTAAGAATTTAGCGTCTTTTTGCATACATAATTTTGCTAGTATTTTATAGACTTTGGTACCAGCAGCCAATAACAATGGATTTTAGCAAGCTCCAAAATATGTTCCTATGTTGGATTAACTCAGCTTGCTCCACAACTGAAAAGTGGTTATCTTGACTACGTGATTGTTCATGGCGCTGCCCGAACAGGATCTATGACACCTGAAAATTGGGAACTCTTCTTTCATTACAGGTATATCCACCGATAAAACTCATGCAACAAGGTTTGCGGACGAGAAGCTGACAATTTTCTGGATCGAACTTGTTGGAAATTTGGGAGAAGCCCTGTGTATCATTAAGCAGGTAAGGAATCCACCACCCAGACAACCCGCATTCAGGCACTAGCAGCCAAACCTCCTCATCTCAATCTTGAAAAGCAATTCAGGAAGTTCCGAATTAAACAAGATGACAAATATGCCAAACTCCCAAGCTAATATTCATGAACCCTCTCAATCAGACATCATAGGTCCAACATGGATTTGGGTCAAATCAAAAACCTTTTAGCAACATCTTTTTGACAACCTGGAGCTCATCTCAAGACGTTGGCGGCGGGACGCAGCGGCAATACAAAAATTAATAGAAGTAATACAAAAACGGAATCAACGAACTGTTTAAGCGCCTCGCTTTGAATTGTTAATCACAACGCAACAAAATATTACATATTTTTTTTTCTGACAAACTATATTGGCAGGTTTTTTGCTCAAAAAATGCCCTTCAACCAAAAGAGTCAACCACATTTGCAAATTTGGACATCTTCCGAAACCATGGTTATTAATGACAGAAAGAAATATACCAAGCTGCCTCAAGATAGGTATCACAGGAAAAGTGATGGTGGGCCACCCTTCAATCTCTTCTCTGTCTGATGTTATCATCTGCTGGTTTTTGTTTAAATGGCAACACAGGAGCCCAAGGATCATTGGATAATAACCGTGCAGCAAGAAATACAGAATACGCCCATTCAAAACATTGGGCTATTGCTCCATCGACTACGTGACTACATACCTGTCCACCCAACACTCTATAAGCCCACACGCGAATTGATCAAAATCTTAGTTTGTCCCGGCGGAATCATACTTTTCAAAAGGACAAATTTTGGACACAACAGGTCAGGTCATTGAAATCCTCCCAACCACCAATACCGTATCAGAGTTGAGATTAGAATTACCTTACGAAATCGCCGATTTTCAGGAAACTGGATACACCAACAATTCCAGGACCTAGGTGCAATAGCTGAGACCCCACACCAGTGCAACAAACAGTCGAATACTGCTACGTTTACAATAACACGGATAAAAACCCCTCGGGCATTGTCCAGACTACTTCCGCACAACCAGCCAGGTTTAAAGGAACTCATCCTCCCCAAAGGCCACTACCCACACGCGATGGGGGGAAGGAGATGTAGAATAACAATAAAAAAGCACGTTTTCAACTAGCGTCCAGTTTCAAAAAAATAAAGCAGGTTGTAACTTAATGTATCCTCAACTGAGAAATAATATTTAAATAGTAATATTCCACTTTTACCAGCAGCCAATCACAGCCCAAGCAATGGACTATCCCACTTTAGCATAATGAGATGCTCCATTGCACCATAAATAGCTCTGTCTCTATGTTGAATTAGTCTTCACTCAGCTTGCTCCACAACTGAGTGGTTATCTTGCCCACGTGATTGTTAAAACCGAACTGGTTCAGGCTCTCTCTAAAGTCTACCATAATTGCCACACGGTTTAGTTGTAATTTCTGTCTTGAAAAACTCGGATAAACTGTCTGATCCTTCGAATCATCGGCCTATTTGTCTTTTACCTCTTTTTGACAATGTACAAGAGGCTCTAATCAACGAACTGTTTAAGCGCCTCGCTTTGAATGATTTTTTTTTTCTGACAAACTATATGGCTTTTGCTTCTCTAGGTCAACCACTGATTTGTCAGCGCTTATTAATGAAAGAATATACCAAGCTTAAGATAGGTATCACAGAAATTTCAACCGTCTCTGTCTGATGATAAGTGTTCTTTTTGTTTTTCACTTTCTTTAAAATTCCTCATTGCTATCATTCTCAATCCATGACATTCTCAATGTCCTTAGAATCATATCTCTTTTGCCTCAAGATTTTTTCTTTCATCCGTGAGGATATTGTCCTACATCGTATACGATATAGGGGAATTAATATTACATAGCACTCTTTTCCTTGTTTCAAACAAAAGTTTCCTGTTTCTTAATATGTTGTATAACTTTTAGAAAGCATCTTTCGATATTCCAATGCGCCTTCGGATTTCGGTGTCACATGTTCCGGCCCATGTTAAAACACTTGCCAGATAGTTTTCAATTCGTATCTTGTATCTTGGTCTGTTCATCTTAGTAACGACTATATATTATAGCATCTCACAATAGATAGTCCTTTCATCTCGTTTTCCTCTACTACTATATCTAGGATTATGCCTTTTTCCTATGACGACTATCAACAGTTTTTTAATATTTTTAATCATTTACAATTATATGAAATGAATAGTTTGAACCCAACATGTACATTTTCAGAACTTCTTTTCGTTGGTCATCCATTATTGCATGTGTATCGACTATTATGATTTCCGAACATTATCAGTCTTCAAAAGTAAATGATTTAAAGCTGATGAGTGCAACATGGTAATAATCCTACACTTGTCTGGCACAAGATCGCGTAAGATGAAGAATATTTCCTTGTGTACAACAGAGTATTTTATTTATGAATATATATATATATATCTTAATCTAGTCTGGACTAAAAGCGCATGAGGGCAAAAATATTCTTGATCCAATAATCCATGAACTCAATTTTACGGTAAAAATTCGCATTTCTTAAAGAGGCTTTTACATGGGTTCGAACACTGAGCACCGGAATTCAGTTGCAAATGCGCATCTAATCAGTAACAAAGCAATTCAATGATAGTTTATGCATTGTATGGAAACTGGGAGAAAGTTAATTTACATAACACCATTCAGATATTTCTACATGAATGTATTTGCATCTACCGTCGTGATTTCCGACCATCATCATCGGGCTAATTTTTATTTTAATCAATCCACTATTCAATAATGCCACAAAGACGCAAGGAGCTACTTGGAGAGAAAGAATTTAGATGGAACCGGGAACCTCACCCTTAACAGGAAAAAGGGGTGAATCTATACACCTGTTCAAAAACAGGGGAGGTGTGTGAACCGGACAATAGGCGAATATATTTACTCTTATTGAGGGAAGAAAAATATAAAAATAAAAGTTAGATTATATTTTCAGAGTTTAGCCGGAGGCGTTATAAGTATAGAGCTGAAGTAGACTAGAAGGGACATAAAACCCAGTACTAAACAAGAAACTAGGAATAAACCTCCAATCCTCTTCAAAAGATCGAGAAGGAGTGTGAAAAGGACGAGACGTGAACCTATCTACTCCTACTATAGATGATTTCTAGGTAATGAGTATTGCATGGTATTTTATCTATGGATATTTTATGAGCTTAGACTAGTCTGGTTCAAAGTCACGAGGGTACGAATATCATGTTAATCCACTCTTCCATTTGGAAATCACTTGTTTGCCGTACAAATTAGCATTCCATAACCGTGCCTCGAACACTGATCTCTGGGACGCATTTGGAACATGCATCGAGACAGCTACAAAGCAGGTCAATGATAATTTATTTATGCATCATATGGGACAGGAAGAAGGGTGATTTTTCCCCAGATTGAGAATCAAACTTTTCTAAATCCTAGCCAAATTGGGTCGTAGATAATTCATTAGATGGCGCTGCCACCATTTGTATATTATGTCACTAAACGTGCCTGTGTTGTCGAGGAATAATAACCGTGAACAAATATATCTGCTGCAATAAAACAGATTAAAAAGCTTTCACATGCAGCTTCGATAAAATGAATTGTCGTCCGTACTCAGTGGGATCTTAAATTATTTCAGGTAATATGATCACTCTTGGACAGGTAGATAACCCGCGAACTTTGTTCGCATGACGTCACTTTTTACAAGTGCCTTCATTTTAACAGCAACCGATTCAAAACTGCTTTTACGTGACAATGCAATGGTCTACTTTGTTTAAGTAGACCATTGCATTGTCGATGTTTTTTGTTACTTATACTTTATTTATTGCATACGGTGTTTCAAATTATTTTAATTCGTGTGTGACGGTAAAAACCAGTAATAGTGCAAGGGTGCTTTCAGTATAAGGGCCATTGCGAGAGTATTTAAGCGTTAACAAGTAGAAATAAATCCATATCAAGTTACATTGTGTGCCCATGGTTGCGTAGGTTTTTAATCTACTTTTGTATGATTCAACATCCTATTTTGCATGCATGAGAAGATAGATAGATAGATAGATAGATAGATATATAGATACATAGATAAAAATATTCAGATATACAATACGCAGTTATTATATAGTTTCAGTCTACTTAACTTTTCAGCTCTATTAGCTTTTAATAAATTATGATTGTTGTTCAGCCCAATCATAATAATAATAATAATAATAATAATAATAATAAGAAGAAGAAGAAGAAGAAGAAGAAGAAGAAGAATGTAATTTATAATCTATGTAAAATGTATGTGATCTTAGATTTTTATATTATTTCCAAGAAAAATGCTCATGGGAAAATGTCATGAGGCCATGTCTGACCTTAGATCTTTGGTTGGGACCCAGAAAGAAATGAGTATACACTATAAATCAAACGAAATAATAATAAGAAGAAGAAGAAGAAATACAAAAATTGTATTGACAGGTACAGCTTACACATCAAGAAAAGTTCAATCTATGTCAAATGTATGTGATCTTAAGTCTTTTTTTGTTTTTTACAAAAATGATCAGTGGAAAATGTCATTTCTTTGGTCTTTGGATGAAATCCTAATAGAAATGAATAGAAAGGCAATGAAATAATAATAATAATAATAATAATTCTTAGCCCTAAACCATATGAATGTCAAAGAAGTATACTCATGGGTATTTCTTAAATCTTGTGTACATTTCTATCCTTATATTGACCATAATTACATTTTTCTCTCCTTATTTGTTTAGTTCTTCATATAAAAAACATTTCTTGTTTCTTGAAGTCTCTGGTTGAGACTTGTGGGCGACTCGTACTACACAAAGTAACGACAACAAATAATAATAATAATAATAATAATAATAACAATAATAATAATAATGTGGCATAATAAGGTAGCGACGTATGTGCACTGGAAGATATACAAGAAGCACAAAATCGAAACCACTCGGAGATTGTATGAGTAACAACCAGACAGAGTTACCCAAAATAACGATATAACTTCTGGGACATGCCAATTCAAACTGACAGGGAAAATAAAAGTCAACAGACTTGATATTATCATAAAAGACAAGAAATTTAGGAAGTCTATGCTTATTGACATAGTAGTACCATCTGAGAGAAACACTTCCATGAAAATTATCGAGAAATTATCCAAATACAAGGACCTGGCGATCGAGATTAACAGGATGTATGGAATGAAGACTGAGACTGTACCAATAGTAATCGGAGCTCGGGGTTTCGTGAGAAAAGGAATGAACAATTTTACTAACAGTGTCCCAGGTAACATCAACATAAAAGTTGCTCAGAAGATTGCTCTACTAGGAACATCCCATATACTAAGAAATGTGCTATCAATTAAATGACAATTCTTCTATGAAGCCTAAGGACTATAGTTCGGACCTAGTTCTACAGTATACAAAGCTGGAAACATAACATACACAAACAATAATAATAATAATAATGGAGCGTAGAGATGCAACTACAGCACAATACACCGGCTGAAACTGCAAAATACCTAAAAAGACAGCAAAGACGAATGCAACCGACCAGATACAGAAGCGATGGCAAGATAAACCGCTTCATGGCCAATACTCTGCCCGTACCAAACAAGCTGACGTAGACAAAACCCGTACCCATCAGTGGCTACGTAGTGCAGGGTTGAAAGCGGAAACTGAAGGTTTTATCCTTGCTGCGCAGGACCAATGCTTGCTAACTAGGAATTATCAAGCACATATACTAAAATATTGTGTCAGCCCAAAATGCAGATTCTGTGATAAATATCCAGAAACGATTGATCATCTTGTATCAGGTTGCACGGTGTTGGCACCCACTGAATATAAAACCCGACATGACAGAGTGGGCCAATATCTGCACTGGAAAATCTGCAACTTCTACGGGAAGGAAACTGAAAGAAACTGGTATGAACACCACCCAGACCCTGTTACGGAGATAGGACCTGTTACAATTCTATGGGACTACACAATACACACTGACAGAACAATCAAGGCCAACCGGCCAGATATTGTTATTAAAGACCACAAACAAAAACGGTGCCTCCTTATTGACATGGCAGTCCCCGCAGACTTCAATGTATCTTTGAAGATATTCAAAATTTGTCAAAATACAAGGACCTTGAAATAGAAATCTCGAAAATGTGCCATATGGGAACATCAACAATCCCTGTTGTAGTTGGAGCCCTAGGAATGGTTGGAAAAGATTGCAGTTGACTAATTGAAGGGATTCCTGGAAGTCCATGCCTCAAGGAGATACAAAAATTGTTCTGACAAGTACAGCCCACACCTTACGAAGGGCTTTATCTATGTAATTTAATTTTTTTTTTTTTTTTTGTCAGTGGAAAGTGTCATGATGCCATTTCTAACCTTAGATCCCTGTGCGGGACCCGGAAAGAAATGTGTAAACGCCAGAAATCAAAGAAAATAAAAATAATAATAATAATAATAATAATAATAATAATAATAATTCTTGCTGCAAAGGAGTAATGCTTGCTAACTAGAAATTAGCAACCACAGATACTGAAGATTATGTTATCCTTAAATGCAGATTCTGTTATAAATATCCAGAAACATTTGACCATCTTGTATCGGGTTGCGCTGAATTTAAAACCCGGCATGACAGAGTAGGTAAATATCTGCACTGGAGATACTGAAGGGCTTATAGATAAAATCGTTCAATATGCAGATTTTTAAGCATAAATATTGTGAGTAACCTGCCTAACAAATTTTGTGAATGGCTGACAGCACTGAGACAAAGATGGATGATAATTGAATAAAATGTAATGGTATTTTATTTTATGAAGAATAAAGTTGGTAAACCAAATCAGAAAAAACATTTTTATACTTAACCGAAAAGTTGTGTAATTACTCAAGTAATTCTGATACATTATACATTCTAATATATTATACATGCGTAGTATATACTCTATTCACCTGTCTAGAATTCACAAATTAATTTTCCAAGAGATTATTTGAGTTTTATAAGCCAAATTTGACGAATAAGATTTCAATTAATTCTATTTGCAGATTCTATAGCTAATCTAACAAGAATGTTACGTTAAATACAGTCAATATGCTAATCTTAAGAATTTTTGAAAGTTTAAATAGGAAATTCACCCCAGTCAAATTTTAAAAACAGGATACAGAATGATATATATATATATATTTCAGCATTTAGAATTTTCTAAGAAGTATAACAACATAAACATCTCGATTTCCTTTTTGCCTTGAAAAAGTCGAATCACGAAACGCGTCGGCAAAATCTAAGATTTTTTTCCATTTGTCATTTTATACCAATCTTTCTTGTCCACAGAATCGATCTAGGAATTTAACTATATTGTCGACATGGAAAAAAATCCCTTACTATAAAGGTAATTTACATTAACCAGAAAAAAAAAGGCTTAGACAGAAGCGTCTATCTTTTTAAATTTGGATTTTTTTAATGTAACTGTAACAACAAAAACATTTCGATTTCATTTTTGCCTTGAAAAAGTCGGAAGACGAAACGCGTCGGCAAAATCTAAGATTTTTTCCAATTGTCATTTTATACTATATATATATATATATATATATATATATATATATATATATGATTTTTATACTATTGTTTAATTAATACAAGCCCCACACAAGGTAGACGGTCCCCGAATGAGTTTTACTTTAAATCCCTGCCTCTTCTTTCTTGCCCAACACACAAGTAATCACAAACAAAATATCAGCATCCCCATTCTGATAATTTTTATGATCAACCGGCTTTTCAGGATGTGCAAGATTTAGAAAGAGAAACATAGTTAAAGAGCGAAATCAATAGAAGTGTAATCAGGAAGATTATAAGGAGGTAAAGGCAGTAAGTAAGAAGCACATATTATGAGGATATGGAGGATAGATAACGGTTGACCATCGACTTGAAAAAGTTAAGATAATAAAGAGTGAGAAAGCAAGCCCACGGTGTTTTGTTGCACAAATAACAGTTCTGGGAAAGTAGCTGACTGAATGGAATATCCTCCTTAACCATAGAATACGAAGTTGATGATGATGGGTTATAGTATGGGGGGATTCTAGCTGTGAAATTTTCAAGTGGAGAATCTAAATAATGTAGCGTGTTTACCATAAAATAGCTATAGCATATAAAAAGGCTAGCCGCTTTTCGTCTGTGTGAATGGGGCTCTAGGGTGGAAGACAATTCCTCAAACAATATATATTTTTTATCTTCGTAGTTCGTGGGTATTTTGCGTGTGTGACTAAGACAGTCACATTTCAGCCATTAGCCGCGTATTAGACTGCTATTAAATTTAATTCCAGATCAATGTTTTCCCCAATTGAGAGTACAAGTTTAATTCTATGAAGACTAAAAGAAAAATTAGTCAAAGTTTGCTGATGTGTATTCGATGTTTACTTCTCACAAGGTAACTTGATTTCTTTGTGTTACTTAAGCTACAGAGGGTGGCCACGTGAGTGTTACAAGAAATTATCTCCGAAAGCCCAATTGATAATAATGGTTATCAAAATAGTCGTGCTGGTATTTTGTTCGTGATTATTTGTGTGTTGGACAAGAAAGGAAAGAAAATATATTCACAGGGATTTCAAGTAAAATTGTAGGGATAAAGCATTTCCTAACTCTGCATCAGAACTCCTTTTATGAATGTTGCAACTGAAAATCAAAAATCTTTTTATTATGAAAGAAGTAAAAGACTCCATACTGTTTCTATTGTTCTAACGTTTCTTCTTCTTCTTCTTTGTAAGAGCGTGCGTCCGTTTTGAAAGTACTTAACTTCGTATAAGAATTTATTTGCCGATATCTGAAGCAATACATTCGGAAGTGCACAATTTTTCTTACCATACATACGTCATGCTGAGATTTTTATCATAACATTCTGTGCATTTGTTTTTTGTTTTGTTTTGTTTTCTTCTGTCTATATTTTTTATTTCTTTTGCTTCATTGTTTTGCACAGAAAAAACTTTTAAGTATTTTCCAACGCATGGAGATATATGTAAATAAAATGATAGATAGATAGATAGATAGATAGATAGATAGATAGATAGATAGATAGATAGATAATAAAGA